TACACACGAAGAGAAGTGTTTCCCTTCCCTACACCACCCGCTACCCGCTGACATCTTGAGTACCTCGTCCCCGCCACCGTCTGTCACCCCGCAGGACGGTCGCGCACGACGTTGATGGACTATAGTAGCACACACCGAAAATCATATTTTATATACAACTTCACGTCAAATTTTCAAAGAGGATTTATGCGTACAAATATTATAAATGCGAAATTCTGTCTGTCCTCCTCTTTACGCTTGAAAGGCTGAACCGATTCAGATGAAATCCGGTATAGAAATAGTTTCAGCCCCAAGAAAGGACAAAGGATAGTTTTTATCCCAGAAATCATGCTTTAAGGGGCTATAAATTGACGTGGAAGTTTGTTTGGGTAATCAATAACGGCTGAACACATTTAGATAAAACTTAATATCGATATAATTTGATTCTTGAAGAAGGGCATAGGCTACTTTTTACCCCGATAACCGACATACACGCGGGCAGAAAAGCTAGTCTAATATAAGTCTTAAAAGCCAATTGTAATAATACTAAATTCGCTCTTACACAATTTCACCACTACCATGCCATCTCTGAACTAGCTGCCAGGATCACTATCCACCAGATCAACAGACCAACCAATGTTGTAAAATAAAAAAATTGTGAACTAATCCGAGATAATCTATAAATTTCGTTAGCATCAACTACTATAAAATAAAAAGCAATGTGTATAAACATGAAAACATACCGTACCGTATATTTTTATATTAATCTTTCGAGACAGCTTTATTCCGTCTGCCAGCGATCATTTATCAAATAAATTAACATTAAAATCAACGTTTAAATAAACAAATAACATCATACGGTACATAAATACTTACATAATAACCAATAATGGTTACTACTTGTTTACAACTCCAATAATAGTAAGTGGGAACTTGGTAATAATTCAAGTGAACATATTCATGAATGGAGCTCGCCGGCTCCGTTTATTACATGTGGTGTAATGTGTTTGATGCGAGTATTAAAGTCTTATGTGTGATCAGCTGATCTAAATAATTTCAAAAGGACTTTGTGTCGTATCGTTTATGCCTAAGGTCAATTTTCACGTGACATGTTAACAGTCAATCAGATGAATAATTTATTTGAATGAAATGTAAACTGTGAAGTCTTTGTTAGGGATATCTCTGAGCAGATAGCGCGATCATCTTCCCGCCTTTTGTCAACTTGATTTGGAGTCGGTTCAAAGTGGTTTTGACTGGTTCTTTTTATGGCCCATCTGCCTGACTATTGCAATCTTTGGGAATGTACTCGATTTTATACAGGACAAAGGAAGAAAGTATATTGGGGTATCGGTAAAAAGGGGCAAAAAGGTAGGGTAAGAAATATCGCCGTCATCATCATCATCATCATCAGCCTATCGCAGTCCACTGCTGGACATAGGCCTCTCCCATTGCACGCCACTTAGATCGATTTTGGGCTTCTCGCATCCAAAGAAATATAAAAGAAAAAGGTAAAAAAAGAAAAAAAAAAAGGTAGGGTAAGAAATATCGCCGTATCAGGTGTAAATCCAAAGCCAAGTAAAGTTTCCCTGCTTTTAAAAACAGTCGAAATACTTGGTTAATCTGTGATTATCTTAGAGTTTTATTGAATACTACTTGTACACTAAAAATGCCCCAATGAATTCTCTAACCAATACTAAAAGAATTATCCAGACTAGCAGTTCCTGAGATGAACGCGTCCAAATAAAGCGTTTTGTTACTATACCAAATATTTCTAACAATTTGTGACAGCCTATGTTATAAATAAATCTTCTCTTAATGGTCACCCTCAATCAATTCTGAAATACGTCAACTTTAGCTTAATCTCGGTAAATTTTTCTCAGAATTTGTTAAATCAAAAGTTGGTAAACCCTGTTTCTGGTATACTTTACCCGGAAAAGGTTTTACCAACGTATGATTAATGCATTAACATGGCAAATATACCTATATAGTATATATATGTATTAGACCTGTTAGACTGAGTCAGATATAATACCTATAGAACCAAAAACAAACAGGCAATTGGCAATACGAATAAATCTACCATTTCTTAAAAGTATGACGCTTGCTACAAATAATAATGAAATAACTATTCCCTGCGGCTTGGCTTTGTAATGAAGATTTTGTCAATTAATTACGGATAGGGAATAGCCAATGTGCCTTGACACAAACCCTATACCAACCCGTGTGGCCAGCGTGGTATAGTAGGCCAAAACCTCCTTTTTAAGGAGAGGCCTATGTCCAGCAGTGGACTGTTAAAGGCTGTTGATGATGAATAGCCAATGTGCTATAATGGACCTCTGCAAACGTGTAGGCAAAATTAATACGAGTTATTAAGAAGAGTTTCTCCTAACAGACAAGGCTTCAAAATACACATAATCTATTGCTTGCCTTAGTTACTCTACAGTGTTCGCGTGAGAATGACAAAGAACTAGCGTGACCATAGACCATTAAACAATAGTCGTCTGTCAGGAGACGTGACGTTTATCAACACAGCGGTGATACCAGGTCACAAATCAAAAAAACGACCAACAACATTGCCCCCTGCGACTTTATGTTCAGTTTATGTCAACTCTTTTAATGAATATACCGATAATCACTGTTTTATTTTACTGTCGTACATAAAAACCAATTTAATTTAGGGCCTTCACCCGTAAGCTGCATTCGAATAATAAAATTGCGTATCGAAACAGTTGTAAGCATCAAAATTGTTGAATAAATATAAATTTATAAGCTAGATCATAAAGTCTTTAGTTTGTTTTTGTGAATAGTCACACTGTTTTATTTATTATTGATTTTTGTGTGTTGGCAACTTTGTACATGTATGTCATATTGTCGTTCCTTTTTCTATTGTTTTCTTATGTAGAATAAAAGTGTGTTTGTAACAAATTAAGAATTCTTACTCATTATTAGTAATTTTACCCAAATAACCAATAAAAATTAATTTAATTAATTAATTTTTCTAATAAACTGTTAATTGATTTTTTTTCGATTGTTTATTTTTTATTTTCTGCAAAGGCGATGTATTACTTTGGATTATTAGCCAGCCATTACATATTTGCCAGTTCCAGCTGCCTCAAGTTTACGTCCAACAAGCAAATACACAATTCACAAGTCCTTTACCTGTAGCCATTATCTATACTGCCTATTCTGTTGTTACAGTGGTTAGTGACCCTTACTGCTAAGCCGGAGGTCGTGGGTTCGTTTTCCACCCAGGACAAATAATTGTGCGATGAGCACGATCATTTGTTGTGTCTGGGTGTAATTTATCTATAACATGTATGTATTTAGAAATATATAAGTATGTTTATCAGCAGTCTGGTTACCATAGCATAGCTCTGCCTAGTTTGGATTCAGACTGCCGTGTGTAGGATGTGTGAATGTATTATTGATCTAATTAATTTTCTATTATAAATCCTGTGGAATTCTTGTTATTTGTTATAATTATAAATCGACGCGTTACATACTATTCGAATCATCAGATTTTATATAGTTGTGGCGCTTAGTAAAGATTGCCTTTCAAGCTGACGTATACACAAACAATCGCGACACTAGTATAATATACCAGTGCCGTTCACACTATACAATCGCTTAAATTAAAAGAATGTTATGTGAAGAGCTTGTAAAAACTAACTGCTTACAACAAGGACCCATCGACCCTTTTCTTCGGATCTTTCGGGGCTTTCGACCACTGAGGGAGTGAAGGGCGGAACCCTTCCTTTTCAACCATTACGTCCGTAGCTACCTATCTTGCTACATTTCGTTGTGCCACTGTGCCGTATTTTGTAGCAAGAATCAAGCTGCAATATTCACAAAATTAGTTAGTCTGCCAAGATATAATCATTTGTAGTTATGAAATCGGTACAATACGAGCAATGTTACGAGCAACCTACTTGTCTTAACAAAATTTTTGAACCGTGCTCTGCACAATGTTACAACCAACAAACGAGGTAAAAACTATAGTCTTTCTAGAAAAAAAAACACCTTTTTTCATAATGACTGCATAAATATATTAGCTATACGGATACAGGTAAGTTAAGACAGTTTATTTGCATTAGTTATTTAACCTGTTTGTTGATTATATCGTTTCTATACAACACGTTTTTGTTTATAAGTCTATCGACATCGAAGCTTTTTCGTTACTTCGGAAGCTTAAATTTCAACGCATACAAAAAAGACGTTTTTTTTGTTTGGTATTGAAGAACGAATCTGGTTTTTTTCTTGTTTGTGTGAGCTCCGTTTTTGCACACACATTCTCTCTGCTTACACGATTTTATTATCTGAACAGCTAGCAATTGTAAATTGCAAATCAGTAAGGATACTGATGTTTTGTTTTCGTTATATCCATCTATATTAATAATAATATTTCTAGCTCATCTAGTTTCAAACTAAGCAGAGATTGTACTATGAAAGCTAGATTGACTGATAGAATACTTATATTCTTTTTGTAAATACATACATAATGTATTTACAAAAAGTATATAAGTATTCATACAAAGAAAACACTAAAACTCCAAAACAAATATTTGGAGATCATACAAACATTTCTGGTCTGACCCGGGAACCGAACCCGAGACCTCAGCACAGCAGTCGCATATGCTACCACTGCACCACCGAGGCAGTCTATTAAAGCTCATACACCAAAAATTCGTAAAATGAACCACGTACATTTGTTTAAAAATATGTCTCGTTTGTAATTCCGATTCGATGTGAAATGTATATTAAAATAAGCAATTACAACTTTGTAGGAACTCCTCAAATTGTTAGAATACTCCCAGGGTCATAGGCCATATTCGCGGTAAACATATCTATACGAATTGTTAGAATACTCCCAGGGTCATAGGCCATATTGGCGGTAAACATATCCATACATTTTTTTATTGTGAGATGCGTCTGAATGAGCCCACACGTTTGCGTATAGGATATAATAAAAAAAAAAATTTAAACTATTTGTGATATTCTAAAGCCCACTCTAAAATGTATCTATGTTGTATGCTTTCAGGGAGGAGGGCGAAGAGAAGCCAAAGCCGACGGAGAACCAAGACGACGGGTACGAGACGAGTAACAGCGGCGAGGCGGCGCGTCGCAAGCCCTCGAGCGCGGAGGGCTCGCCCGCGCCGCCCGCCGAACCCTCCCCGCCACCCGACCCGCCGTACGAACCGCTCATGCGCCACTACGAGCCTGAACCCGAGCCTTACAGGCACTTTGAACCTCCGGCGCCACCGCCTCCACACCAACCAGAACCACAGCACTACCAACATTTCCCCTTCCCAAAATATGGCGGCGACCATTACGGATTTAAGCGTGAACCTGAAATGCCGTACGACATGAGTCAGCATCAGCCCCACCAACAATATGGGGGGCCTTTACAGAAGCGAGAGGATGATATATTATATAATGGAATCAAGCGAGAATGTGAGGATCCGTACTCGTTTGTTGAAGAGGATGCCATGTGTGCGATGCTGGCGGGGCCCCAGCACCATGCGGTACCTCAGCATATGCACCACGAGCATGAACATCATCCACACGATCACCACATGATGCATCCGCAACAGATGATGCTCAACCAACCCAAGAAACGAGGCAGAAAGAAGAAGATTAAAGATGAAAATGGGTAAGTAATTTTTAATACATATTTTAATTTTGCTAACTTTGACTTGTGTACCTTGGTTTGTCAAGTGTTTTAAAACTTTAGTGGGTCTTTCTAATTTCATCATCATTATACAAAAAAAACTTTATCACGCACCAAAAATGCATTTACTATATTATTATACAGCATCAACATCAACAGCCCTTAACATTCCACTGCTGGACATAGGCCTCTCCTTACAATGGAGGTTTTGGTTGTTTTATCATCATCAACAGCCCTTAACAGTCTACTGCTGGACAAAGGCCTACTATACCACGCTGGCCAGGTTGGTATAGGGTTGGTTTCAAGTTTTCCTTCTCTTTGCAGTGCTGTTGTTTTGTTTGCTCCCTTAGCCGGCTCTTACGACACCCACGGGATAATATATATATGGGTGACAGTCCGGATTCTTAATCCGTCACCACACGGATATTGGTTGTTTGGTTAGTTATAATAAAAGTTTAATATATATCACAGACGCGGCCGTCTCATCCCAAGCTAGGCAAAGCCGGCGACCAGAAGGCCAATTCGCGTGATAGAAGTTCGGTCACAATTCGGTTTCGGTCAACTCCAGATCTTGCAACTGTCATTATGGTTATTTTCGTAGTAAAATAGTAAAGTATTACTAAGATTAGCTGATTACCGATTCAATTTTCGGTTGGATGTTTAATACTTTTCTACAATTTTTTTTTTATGATAGTTGTGAGATCGAGAGTTGATCTGAACTAAGGCCCTAGTTCAAGTTAGTTTCACATCAAATCGCTCTCGATAGCGAGCGATTTCGGCGTTGCGATTGGTGCAGATGTCAATGCGTGCCAATCGCAGTGCCGAACACCCTCACTGTGACGATCGGGTAGATGTGAAATAATCTCGCACTTTGGCCTTCGAATTGGGAGCGAACTTTTCTAACGAGAATTGGCCTTTTGACTGCTAATTATCCATCCATCAACAGCCTTTAATAGTCCACTGCTGGACATAAGCCTCTCCTTAGAAAGGAGGTTTTGGCCTACTATACCACGCTGGCCAGACGGGTTGGTATAGGGTTTGTGTCAAGGTTTCCTTCTCTCTGCAGTGTTGTTGTTCTGCGTAGTTTTTTCCCTTAGTTGACTCTTACAACACCCACGGGATGAATAGGAGTGGTGAGAATCTGTATTCTTAATCCGTCACCACACGGACCTGACTGCTAATTAACATACTACAAACTCGCGTATTACTACTTACATATTAAAGATAAATTACACCCATCGTACTCTTCACACGACTATTTATTCTGGGTTAGACGACAACCGACGATGAAGACCACTACCTCTGACCATCAGGATCAAAAACCAACTTGCAAATCAGTTGTTTGTTTGTTTGTTTTTGTTATAAATGCGATAACCTCAAGTCCTGCCGATCCGACTTGAAAATTCTTTAATTTTAGAAAGCCTGTTTATTGATCAGTTTATAGGCTATAAAATACCACGTTACGACCCATTAGAACGAAGAACCAGCCGTTTTTATCGTGACTATTCCCACTCACGATAAAGAACCGGCGATACCAACAATTGTCACTCTTTCTTCCTTCGCAGTATCTTCTCATCTCTCATCTTTATTGAATCTTTTAACCTTGCTCGAGACGTGACGACCGGAACGGAGCGGTTTATGTAAAAGACTAGCCTTTCCCCACCGTTCCGCCCACAAGTATGTCGGTTACCGTGGTAAAAAGTAACCTATGATTGTATTTATTTGGATTAGGATTAGGGGGAAGTCCCCTAGTGGCGGACACATAAGGTTTTCAGGAAATAAAATTAAAACTACATCGAGAAATATGTATTTATTTATGAATTACTTAAATTAACAAAACATAAAATCAAAATCAAATAATAATAATAATAATATTCTACCACATACACACAACGCCATCTAGTCCCAAACTAAGCAGAGCTTGTACTATGGGTACTAGACAACTGATATAAATACATATATACTTTTTTTTTGTAAATACATACATATTATACATAGAAACACCCAGACCAAATCAAACTTCAAATGTTCATGCACACAAATGTTTGACTTGAGCGGGAATCGAACCCGCGACCTTTGGAATAGCAGTCCGTTACACAAACCACTACGCCATCTGGTCGTCAAGAATAGAATTAAAATTAAAATAAAATCGAAATAAATCAGAATTAAATAATTAAAATTAAATAGAAATTAAATTAAATAAAAAAAAAAAAAAATAAATAATAAATTAAATTAAATAGAATTATTATTTAATTCTAATTATTAATTAGAATTAAATAGAATTAAATCAGAATTTGTATTTTTGTCAAATAACAAAAATACAAATTCTGCGTAAACATAGTTTAGGAATGTTAAATAAGTTTTGGTAAAAAAATAAAGGACTTTGACATTGGCACCTAGTGCCGGACGGGTTAATCTTCAAACCCCAAGAGCCGGACATTCTAAAACTTTTAGCATCTATCACATATGTAGGCATCTCCACATTCTGGAACGTCTGCACATGCTTCATGAGCCCATTATTGGCATCTGGAGCATTGTATCCAGTCCTCGTCGTGGTCTTCTAAACACACTACACAAGTCGTTTTTTCTATATTTGATACTTCAGTTAACGGCTCCTTTCTGTTGCCGTTATTGCCACGTTTGGTTTGTTTACTCAAGGGGAATCTTCATAGCTTCAGCCAAGTCGTAAGCTAACTTCAAAAACTCGTTTTTCATCAGGGGCAGACATCTATTAGACAAATCTCTTATGTGGTCCACTAAAACTTGCCACATACTCGGGTGAGAAGGTTTTTGTGAATCTACCAACTTTTGCTTGCAACGTGACTTCTTTTCCACTGCTCAATGTCGTTATTTTATCATGTAGAGTACTTTTTGGAACATTGTAACGTGACGAAGCTGCCCTCAAACTCATTTTTTTGGACAAAATCTTGTTCATCGCAGTTTTTAAACTTTGCTGATCCCATTTTCCTTTTTTTTTCTCTCTTGCATTTTCAAATATCTCTCTCCTTCTATCCTGTAAAACAACAAACAATCATCATTACAATAAGTACAAATGCTTCATAAAAAAGCTAACCTATAAACTGTCCGGTGGTAAGGGACACCTTTGTGTCCGAAAGTAGGGGACAGGAAACGTCCAAAATTACGTATTTCATACTAAAACTGTTTAGGTATTTAATAAAAACTTTCACAATATAATAATTATAGTGAAACACTGTCTTTATTAACAAATAACAAAAACAATTAAGGATAAAACCATAGCAGTAATACTTACTTGAAATTTACGTGACGCAACGCTTTCCCACCAAAAACAGCAATTCACCGCTTCCACCACGACTGTGCGTCTCACTGGCAAATCGCGTTGCGTGATCCTGTCTCGCTACGTTCCCCCGCACCCCTTTCACCGATTTATAAATAGATCGCGTTGACGTTTGTCAAAATAGTATGAGTGTCCGGCGCTAGGTGCCGTCCGGCGCTACGGGACTTCCCCCTAATATTAAATTTATAAAAAACACCTTCACAAATTATGCATTATTTTAATACAAATTTCATTACCATAAAAAGTTATAGTGATCAAATCTTAAAAGATAGACATATGCTGTCGTGATTTTTTTTTTAGAACTGTTAAAAGGGGAACAATTCTGTCAAACATTATTTTAATTAAACTTTAACAGCGCACGCATCGGAGGCTCTGAAAAATGAATAATTTTCCCCCGTTTTTCCAACATTTTTTATTGATGCTTCGCTCCTATTTATCGTAGCGTGATGATATATAGCCTGTAGCCTTCATCGATAAAAAGGTTAACTAACACTTACATATTTTTTCTAATCGGACCAGTAGTTCCTGAGATTAGCGCGTTCAATGCGTAATGGTTTAAGCGGTCGCCACGCCGCTTACTGCTCGCTGAGTGTTGTGGGTTCGATCCCCACATGGGACGACACTTTGTGTGATCCACAAATTGTAGTTTTGAGTCTGGGTGTGCTTTGTCTCCGTTTCATGTATGTTTGTAAAGTCCCCACACAGGATATATTAATGCTAATAATGCGGGCGTTGTCTTTAAAGAAAAAGAAAAAAAGAACTAAACAAACTATTTAGATTTAAAATGTTAGCATAGATTAAAAATTTGCATAAAAAATCACTTGTGAATGAAAAATTTATATATATATATATTTTTATATACATATTTGTAACACTATGTAACGTAATTTATTTGTCCAAATTTATCATATCGCAGACAAAAGAACAAATACCGCTCAAAATTAATAAACTGCTAAATATATTTTGAGAAAACTTTCACTATTTAGTAACTAATTAAAAAAAACTAAACCTAAACGTAGGAATGCCACGCTTGGGCACGAATGGGCCAGCTCGACCGGAGTGATACCACGGCCTCACACAAAACCGGTGTTAAGCAATTCTTTCGTTGGCTCTCACTGAGTGAGTGAGGTTACCGGAGCCCAAATCCCGAGCATGAGGGACTCCCAAGGGCAGCAACGCACTTGAGATTTTTGAGTTGCAGGTGTCCATGGGCGGCGGTAGTTGCTTATACCATAAAAAAAATAGTACTAATTGAATAAAAATAAGTTTTTATGTAAAAACTACTTATTAACTTTATATTTTAAATCGTAAATATAATCGTGCATTATAACGAGGTAGTGTTTCATTCTTTTTGACCTTCCGTTTAATTAATATTATTGTATTTTTTTTTAAATCTTCAGCATCAATTTCCCACGAACCTCACCTTAACCATCTCATTCAAGGACCTGTGTAGATGTTTCTTCTTTAAAACAACTGTTGTTATGTCAACAACACTTCATGCTATTAGGTAGTGTCTAACATATTCCTTGACAGTCAAATGAACAAATACCTAACAAACTTCGACTGCACGAATGGCGTAGTGGTTTAAGCGGTCGCCACGCCGCTTACTACTACGCCGTGTGTTGTGGGTCCGATCCCCACATGGGACGACACTTTGTGTGATCCATAAA